CTATATGAAATACTTGTTGCTTGGAAGCCCCAAGGATATTTTGATGATCATGGAATTTGATGATTCATTAAACTTAATTGGAAAATCTAAAAACACTACTTGTCACATTGGTTGTTCAGTAGACTTTACTATTCAACACCAACAATTTGAATAGGAAGAAAGTGAACTGAAGCAAATAGAAATCAAAAACGGATCAAAATTTCGAAGAAAGATAATGGGATATTTACTTTCCTATATGTATCATTTGACTTGATAAATGCCCATTAATTTTCATTAAAACTGTTTACCACATCTGTTTTAATAGTTGATGAGCATAGATAAGTGACGGAACGTTATTCGCTAACAAGAAAAATGGAATGACGGATTCTTTTTTTATTTTGGACTAAGAATTTCTCCACATTATTCCCAGTAATATTATATAATAATGAAAATTAACTGACATCGAATCTGTTATAAAGCTAATTATACATCCTCATTAACAATTTAAAATTCATAAAAAATGTACCAAATCCTTGTGCATGGTGTAGAAAAATGATTGTCAGGTAATGTAGCCTTTGGTTATAAATAACTAAAATGACCAGAATATCGCTCAGATTTATGAGTTATAATTATATATCAATCCTCTGAAAATTAATGGATCTTCTCTTTCGTTGACTGTTTGCTATAAAATGCCAATTTTTTATTCCTTGCGTAATTTACAAAACTTTAAATCAGTCTTTGAAAAACTTTCCTAATAACTTTTGAGCAAATATCTAGAACTTCTTGAGGTAAACGTTCCAGTTATCAAACAATTTTAATTAACAAATTATTTTTAATGAATTTCGTTCTGAAGAGATGGCGCTGAATGGTTTAACAGGACTAACACATTTTAGGCCTTTTTAAATAACAATTAAGTGGAAGACTGTCTACAGTGAGCACACAATGGCTTTTATCAGTTGATAATTAGACTTTAATTACATATTGGAAGAAAAATTATCCCGAACTATCACAAAAGTAAACCAACATAGATTGTTATTTTTAATTTTTCATTTTCAGCCTCATGGATAGTGTGGATTAACTAAGCTACAAGTGCAAACAGAAATGCAGAGGTGCCAAAATGGGGTGAAACGCGTCACGGTGATCTTTACTAGACATTGTGACATTAATCGTATGATCATCACTCCATTCACCCCATATTTTGACTTCTTAATATCGCTCCATTTTTACCACCTTTATTAATATAAAATTTGATATTGAAATTGGTGTAAAAGTAAACAATTTTCAAAATGGTTGTCACTGAATTAAATAATCAATATTATTGATTATTTTAGTCCATGATTTGTTATATTTGGATGATAAGCTCATAAATCTAAGGCTATATAAAGATGCCTTCATTCCATTGATATGAAAGATTGTGTGGATGATATGAAACAGTTAGTTGATTTAAAATTGCTCTATTCAGAATGAAGATAGGCCAGGAGCTTCATTATACTTGCTTTGGACTTATTTCATATAAATAATGCTATGACTAAAGTTATAAGGATGTACAATCACTTTCCCAGTGAGATGATGGTGAGTTAAGCAAGATTTACTGTATACTGTGAATGGATCAGAGGAGTAAGTGGAAGGAGGTACTGGGAAAGATGACAGCTGGTGGTAGTGGTGAGAAACGGTGACCATGACTGTGGGAAACAGGTCAAAAAGGATTCGATATGAAGCTTGACAGATTTCGCGGATCTGATTCGTAGGTGCTACGAGTACTGCGGATTGATAGATCATTTTGTCAGTTGGTTTACTAAATTTGAACGGATCTATTGAAAAATGTATATATTTTTTTCATTTTAAAAACAAAACGTAGATATCAGTCAACTCTATTTACTGTAAAGACAGTAGAAATCACGAGAGATAATTAAGTACTCTCCTTTGCGTCACGTTAAATTAATTAAGAAATATTGGAAAATATGTGTCATACTAGAACTGGCAAGGATTAATCAAATATGGTTCGATAAAATACAGAAACCAGCAATAAAAATGGGTTTGGTTTATTGAGGGAGAGAAATAGCATATCAAACAAGCTAATATTTCAAATAAATCATTATCCAAAATAGAGAAACAAACACAAAAATGATTGGCAATTGTTGGTTAACAAGTAAATGGGGAGGATTTACTCTTGAATTGGAGCGAAAAGTCACTTATTAACACTCTTTAAATTTGACAAAAATGAAAAATGGCAAATGAATTAAGAGGCTACTTATTAAATCACATACTCACCTATGTCACACCTCAGTAACTAAGATTCAAAATTTGTCTTTGATTAAGGCGTAGTCATATTTGAAGGAATCAATATTTTGCATTTCGAATTGTTAGTAATTCTAAGTTTATTCAGTAATGAATTATGAGTAATGTCATTGCTTAATGATGGTTACAACCAATATTATTTGTGTGATTGCATTAAATAGAAGAAAATCTCTCGACATCAATCACTTTCAATTAATGCTTCTTTTATGCCCAATTTGACAATGAATTCAAAAATTGTGGGTAAATAGTTTGCAGACGCAAATATGCTTTTCTAAAATTGCAAGTAGAATAATTAACTGAAATTATTAAATATGAATTTTATTTCATACTACTTTTTGTTTTTTGTTCCATAGGGGGAGCTAGTGATGACAGTTTTTTACTTCCAAATACAATTGTTAAGTGAAGGTATCCATTGTCAAAAGCACAAGGATATTGCAAATGATTCACTCTCAGTTTTGCTGTTCTTTTTGGCATTTGGAAATCTGAATGACATGATTCTATATGATTTACTAATGTTCTTCTCTTTATGCACAAGCCTCAGAAAGAACCACCTGCAGCACGAAGACCTACGCTTTTTATGGCTTTTCTTTATCGTTAATAATAATCTTTATAAATATGTTCTTTCCTATTAGCATTTGATGCTAGAAGACACAATTATTAGTATTTAAATTGAGTGAAAAAACCTGGCTTAATCTATCTTCCTGATGGCCACCTCTGCCACATTTCTATTTAGTGTTTTTGATCCATCCACCTTAATATTTGATAGTGGAAGTTACAATAACATTGGTTCGATTTTAATTTGAAAATGAGGTCAGAAATTCTGAAACTAGACAGTAAATTTCCACAGAAGGGGCTTGTTTATAACTGTTTAATACTCATTCCTAGTAGGCTGATCTAATTTCCTTCTTCTAATAACAATCCAATTAGAACAAATTAAGATAATCAAAGATCAATACATTGTTTAAAAGGCAAAATTCAAAAACGACTCCAATTATTTTTTTTCATTTTATTGCTGCCTACCTAAAGAGAATATACTATTTCTTTGGAAATTTATTTTCTTATTATATGCATTCGAGCCAACAGAATTTATTTTCAAGCAAATAAATGTGATTTTCAAACCAGCTTTGCTTATTTATTTCACTGTTCGTCACAATTTTCTATTATATTCATGAAGAGAATAACTTTCAATAATATCTCGAATGCACATACCTTCTTAAGTACCGTTGCTGTGCAAATTCAGATGACTTTGTTTTATTGATTGCTTATATATGATGAGATAATGACGTTTGACAATGAACTCAACACGAGGTAGATTAATTTGGCACAGGGTTCACGTATCTGTTTCTTACAAACTCACAAGTTCTCTCCTGACTACACTCTACTTCATTCCTTTCATTACGATTGCCTAGCAAAATCGTGAAAAATACAGAATTCTTGATCTCTTATTTTATGAAAGGCTCTTTGACTCTGATTATCTTGAGAGACAATCGATAGTTGCAAACAGAGGTGTCACTAAATTAAACTTTATGAGCCTTAAAAGAAATGGAGGAGATAGGTTAAGAGCCCTTTTGAATCGCATAAAAAATTGGATGATGGACTATCTCGTAACAAGTTTTTTACTTTTCGTACTACAGAAACTGGGCTAAATTCTTATTTAAATATTTTCATTTACTATATGTTCTAAAGAAAATATTTTCAGCTGACATTTTCTAAGTGACAGGTTTGTCGTGGTTGTAATATTAGATTCTTAGGATGCAACATGAATGCTTCAGGGAAGACGTTTGAACAGAGGGAAACAAATTCATTTGTCAAACTTAGCGGATTAATTATCTTTAAGTGTTCTTGTACTCAGTTATTTAGTTACAATGACTTATATTTTCAAGCAAGTTCGCATGAAAAATTGAAATGCAAGCGAGTTTCTATTTTTAGAAGATGTGAAACGTGCATGAAGTAGGTTAGCATTTATCAATGCTCCAACTATACCATTTCATAGTTTTCAACATTCCAGTATCATGACTGTTTTCACAGGGATACCTAAAATTGTTCAGCAGCCATTCAAAGAATTCGTCTAATCCAGAGCTTCGAGAATTTGAAAAGTTGAAAATAAAACCAAGTTTCTTGCAAAAATCCAGAAATCTAAGGAAGAAATTATCAAAACATCTTTGACAAACTTAACATCTTCTTACCTGTCCTAGTCCCATATTAGGCCGCTTTAACACTTTAAGCTACGGCTTTTATTTCCAATGAGTAATTGTAACCATATGTACTTTATTTTACCTTGGGTTAGATAGTTGAAAAACCAATAATTCCAAAATTTATTGATCACTAATTTTTGGATTAAATGAAACTTGTATCAAAATTTTGATTTGAAAAACGGGTTTATTAAATAATTAGAGAAAAGTGAAAATTCCGATTATCATGAAACAAAAGCCAATGAAAGGGGAATTCAGTTATTACGTGCTAAGTCACTGGAGATTCCTAAGTTAAAATGAAGAAAAATCGTGTTTTTTTAAAATTTTTACAAACAAATTTAATATGCAAATCAAGGTTTTAACAAACATATTGGGTTATTTATCATTTCTTTCACATAAAACACACTGGTTGATTAAACCAGTATTGCCGGCTCAGGATAAGCTCAAATATAAGGCAGGTACTAGAATAAAGAGAATTGAGTTGAATTTAATTTAATTTAAACCAAATAATTACAAGAAACCTATAGATTTTTACTTACTTATTATAGTAATCGATCCGTACAGATTATTATAACCAGCTGAGCCAAGGAATTGGCCAATAATATCGCTCAAAGGCAATAGCGAAACCAAATTCTCCATTACGTTAAAAGTTGCTGAAGGCGACATAGAATAAAAAATATTAGAACATAATTAGAACATAAGTAATTAAGGAAAAGAAAGTGGAAGCTTACGAAGATCAGTGTCTTTCCCTAAAAGTGAAAAAAACACCATTTGAAATATGCTAAAGCTTATGAACAAAATACTCTAGTCCAAATTCGCAGGACATACCCCAAACAATAACATGCGTATTATATTCGTCGTTATATTTCACACTGTAGTAGTCAATAGAATAGTTCTGTTCTACCGTCATAGAAATGATGGAATGAAATAGGAAGTGCTGAGTTTCTGAAATTTAAAATTGACAGAAGTAAAACTAATCCAAATTTGCTCAGTTTAATTCAACCTATGCATATTTACGAATATTTAATATGTGGGGGTAACCATCCAAAATTTCTCCCTGTTTTGAGTTGTAAATGGTTTCACCTCGTGACGTAGCAAGGACATCAAACTACAGGGGGGCAAAAAGGTTGAACATTATGTTGCATTGAGCAATTTACTTTTCCAATAAGCACTACTTACTTCTGCGTAACCTGTAATGCTCATGTGGAGGATGTAGAAGTTCAAAGTAACAAGGTCCCCCTTTTTCGCATTTGTAACAAGGGGAAGTTTGTATATGTACTGAAAGGTATCTAAATATGATTATTTAAGTTAAAATATACATTTAGACTTACATGAGTTAATTTCTGGCCAGAAATGGTCGGCATAGAATAGAATGACAATCGGTATTGCTGTTGTGTTCGTCAGAGTGACCCTTGTCAGGCCATAATTCATAGTAGCACTCAATTTAAGATGGTGAACACGATCTTTTCCTGAAGGCAGAGGAGTATTTGAATGTGTAACTTTGCTATTAAGCAAAGAAAAAAAGGAATAAAAATGCCGACTCACGTTTAGTAATTTGACAATCAAAAAGTGGTGTAGAACAATCGCCATCCACAATTTCTTTCTTATGCATTCCAACGTATATGTACTAAAGTCGGAAGTGTTGTATATTTAGGTAAAGGGGCATTTACTTTATAATTTCCAGGAAGAAGTGTTTCATATTCGACTTTTGAATATAAGGGGGCAAAGACAACCCGTCCATCCTTTGGGAGCATTTCAAGCTGGTTTTCCTCTATAATAGAAATTGTGTATTTTGGTTTGCTTTAGAAAAAGTCATAACTGGTTAGGAAGACTCACCATCATCAGCTAGAACGAGGGTATGTAGAATCATGAAGAAATAGAAAATTCCATTTGCTGTGGTGAGCAATAGCATTGCTGGTGTGAGAGTGCTATGTGACTTTGCGAGAGCTTGAGGCCTGTCTGGCTTATATAACACACTCCTTTGCTTTACTGTAAGTGACCTTCACAAAAGACGCTGTTTGTGGGTGAGCGATGTGATGAAAATTGAAGTATCTCTTACTGAAACTTGACCATGACATCTCAGTTGACATCTGTTAATTACAAACATTATCGATTGATTCACAAATCAATTTCAGTCAGCTAATTGATTTATTTGTAAAATTGTGCAATGCTAATGCATTTATTTCCATGTGTTTCCAAATTTTACGTTTACAAATATTGGATTCAACTTAAACGTGAAGAGATAATGATTCATTACCTGTGAGATATAAGAACTAGAGAACCCTAAAATTATAACTACCTTCCTAAAAAAAGACTACCTTCATTCGTGTAGATTACATTTCGTGGTGAATGGATTTAAAAGGGATTATTTACTTTGAAATAATTTTCATTTATGGCCACTTTCTACTAATGATAATAAGTAGTGATGTGTTAAAAAGCTATTTTATTAAATCCACTTTCAATTTTTCTGGGTACTTTGGTCAACCAAGCTATAGGTTGGTTTGCGCAATCCATTCTTACATTGTATGGCTCAATTTTGACGCGTATTAAAGCAACACAAACAAACATATTAACGCATAAAAGAGAAGTAAATATTTAATTTAATAGTGATTTTTGGGGGATGCAGTAAAACTGGATAAAGTGCGTAAGTTTACTCAAATTTTTGATACCTCGGGTTTCCAGCGTAACAAAGACCACCAAATATTTTAAATAAAAGTTTTTAAAGTAGCCGTTCATCATTGTAAACTAGAAAGTACCCGAAATATCCAACGATTTACAAGCACTTTTAAAGTTAGCATCTACGCGATAATTGGAGATAATATTCGCCGTCATTTACAAACAATGTGAGAATTTTATACTTAACGCGACATTTTAGATCCCCTCAATTACTACTCTCGCCTAGTTGTGTACTCGCTGTTGCAAGTCTACTTAAAATCGAGGAGAGGCCATTCATGAGCGTCGTGATATCAATGTATATCATTACATTGGAAAGGTCCGTTCTATGGGAATACGATTCTATTTCGCATGCCTAGCAGTTAAAAGTAAACTTACCAATGCTATTTTTATTCTGGCAAGCTTTCTTAAATAGCAGAATTACCTTACCTCTGAATATTTACCGAGTTGGCATGCCAATATAATTCTAAGGGAGATGTTGATTATTGATCCCTCGACAAGTCACAGTTTCATCCAACCATGTGATGTTTTCATAGACGCGCCATTCAAGCGTATATGTGCTCTTTTTCTTGGTCCTAGGCCCACTGAAGGGAGGGGGAAATGATGTGCTAATTCAGTGATTGTAGTACATAGTACTAGACTGAAGAGGTTCTAAGGTTTGCGTTATCTCAAACCACTCCAATTGTGTATATCGGAAGATTTCTTCCATTCAATAAAGTGCAAAATGCGCAAAGAAATATTTTTCATTAAATCAATAATTTTACTTGACAAATTTCTGATTGGTGATAACGTTAAAAAAATATGGAAAAAAGGATAAAATTCAAATGTGATGAAATTTCCGGCAAATTTGGCAATTTGTTTAGTCATTACCTATTTGAAGTATGAATAACGTTTAGTTAAAATTAAAATACACTCACTCCAGTCTCTGGTGGCAAGAGAAAATAACAGGAATAACACAGGAACTCTCACTCATTTTGTTAAAGTCTCATCACGGTCATTTGAATTTGCTTATTTCCTTATTGTTGTAGAAAGATTTTTGTGCTTTTATTTGAACGCTAATGAGTTATTTTATCTCAAAGAGATTGACATTCAAGGTTATTTACATTTTCCCCTTTCAGAGAGGGAGGGAGGTTATTAAATTTTACTTTCAGATTGAAAGATTGACTTCAAGCAAGAAATAATTTTTGTATTCTGTGCCCTAAAAGACATTTTATATTTCACAATCCCATTGGTCAGATAAAAATTTGGAGCCCATTATTTTATCGATTTATTAATTTATTTGCTGTTGAGAAACGAAGGAATATTTGCAAGCGTAATGCATTATCAACATTAGGTAGCCTCGTGCATTACAGTTGAAAGCCAATGTAGATGAACGAAAGTGGATGAATGCCGTAGAATGCGTTTTGCCATTTCTTTACCGCACAAGTTATATTATCTGGGTTCATCTACTCTACCAGTTTTTATGGAAAGATATTTTCAATTAATGTCATATTTGGAACCACTTTGCGTGATAGAGTGACATAATGATGTCATTTTATCTTCAGTAAGTTGGTAAGCCGTAAATTCTTTTTCTTTCAATTTTTCAAACACACAAATCGGATTAGCCGAATTTTACAATTTCATAACCGTTCTGTATTGAAAACTAGACAGCAATATCAATGGCAAAGATTTTACCCTAAATTGATGTCAAATGGTGAGTTGATATGCGAAAAAGTTTGAAAATCAGATAATAATCAAGGTTTGACAAACATTAAATCATGCAAAAATTTAATTACGTTCAAAAGGCGCCGCACTATCATTGGTTGCATTTGTATCTTGTTTGTGGAAAGATGATCTTTTTAATTTTCGTCTTACTCAAAAAAACTGGGGAGCTTGATGTTCAGTTGAAGAAGCATCACAACTTATTTTCAATATTCAATTCAAATTTTGTCATTAAATGAACAATGGATACAGTGAGGTAATACAATTGATCACACTCTGATTCTGCGTTGTAATAATCCCCATTTTATGTTTTCATTTAGTTCCCTCTTAGCTCTCCGTGCACTTGAAGTGAAACAGCATTTTCCGAGTCAAGTACAGGCTATTTCAACATCAAAATAATGAATTTTAAGGGTAGTGACGAGGTCAATCACAAATCATCAACTGACTCCTTTTGCGTGGCCAATCATATTCAACTACATTTAACAAGAATTCCAATGAGTACCAATGATTGGCTCAATCTTCTTAATCCAATCACAACCCCCCTGCATATGAACAAGTAGATTCCAAATTAAATTACCAAAGCCTGGACTGTAGGCTGGTCTTACCTGCTTTAGTGTCTATTGTCTCTTCTTCTCCTAAAAGCGTTTAAATTAAAGAACGAAAATAACTAAACAATACAGGAACATTACGAATACATTGAAAAAGTTTTGCTAATTTTATTTTAAACTTGCATTTAACATAAAAGTGATGTTAATTTTGTACAATGCCAAATGAGAGATTTCATTACAAGTAAAATCGAAAGTTGGAGGGTCTGTCGGATAAGCTCGATACGACTGTATAATTTCAACGTATATCGACGCTCTTAAAGTATTCTGAGGAATGCGAAGCCAAAAATTAAAGGCGTTAAGAGGTATTTCATAAAGATGACATTTCGGCTTCCTTTTGATGTTGTTGTTGGTGAAAAGAAAGGTTCAGCTTGGTATCGTTCATCATTTTGGGGTTTATGCATTTTTTCAGGAATTATGTAAGGACCAGACCGCATGGGGTAGTAGGTGAACTTCAATTCTGGTTGGCTATTTACAGGTTTTGAGGCTAAAAAATATGAAAATGATTTGAAAATATAAATGCCTTTTTAATTCACCAATGGAATCGTTTTACAATCAATTAATAAGTACTGCAGTCAGTCTTATGAAAACGATTTAAAACAATCCTAAGAAAATTATGGCCTTATAATTACTAATTCAAGTTAGTAGAAATTTCATTTTCACCAAGGAAATATACAGTCTTGAATTATTTTTTGTCAATTAAAGTTAAAACTAATATTCAGAAAAATTGATTGAGAGGGAAATTATATTTCTACAAAGGTGTCAGTGTATCATATTACTTTGAGGTTTGCCAAACAATTATGTGAGTACAACACATTGAAGACCAATCAAAGTGTAAAAAAGATAAAATGGACAAATTGAAATCCACATGTGCGAGAAATAAATTAAGATTAAATCAAATCCCTACTTGTGTACCTCTAAAAGAAACTCAATTTATACTTAGTCTAATATAGTCAAATAAACGAGGGTATTGATTTATCACAATGCAGCCCTAATTTGACTTTATCTCTCGTGTTTTACAGTTAATAAAATTCTTCAGTGTGCATACAAAAACTCTGTTAATATGTTCACTTTCTACCAACCTAGCGAGTTAATTTTCTTGTAAATGTGCGTCATTTGCCATTTTTAGCTTTCAGTTATCAAGACTCGTTCCAACTTGCAAGCACCAGTTAGAAATCGTTGACGGCTGCTTGCTTATGTCAGAACGAAACTTAATTAAGGAAGATTAAATAGGTATAAACTAGAGAGAGGGTTTCGGCGGGCGTAAACACATAAAAGACCGAAGTGGTTTAAAGAGGATTAGGAAGTTATGAAACTATTTAAGGGACTTATAGTTGACACGAATTTCCCATTTGCTGATGAATGGATATGCAGGCCTTTAATTTATTTATTCTACCCCTTTCCTCATCAATGGAGCATAAATGTAGAAAAAGGGCCCTGTGAAACGATATGACTTTATAAAGTTGTTTAAGCATAATGAAATCTGAGAGGAATTTGGTAAAAAAGGCATAAAATTTCTTACTTTCTGCCTTCCTTGCATTGTAAGCCTCATCCTTGACAAGCCAAAAGGACCGATCGACTTTGGGGACTTCCGTTTTAGGCTTTTCTGCAACATCAAACACGGAGCTAAGGACAAAGCGGTATATCATATGGCCACTGAAATTCATTTGTCCTCAGAGAGTTGTCAAGACTGCCTGGTTCAAAGAGCACTTTAAATATTAAAGGCAGATGTGTCTCAACAATTCTGCCAAACTCAAGTGACAAATCTAACTAAGATAAGCTTTGTCCAAATAACGAGTAAAGTTAAGTAGTTGATGTTAAATCTCTCAGATGTGTTAATCATTTAGTTATTAAAATAAGAATGCCAAAATCAATAGTGAAAATGATAATCTAAGTGTCAGCTAGTGTCTCTCTCAAAAACTTTATTCTACTATTTTAAACTTGCCCAGAAATTTGGTGTTAATCAGAGGAAAAAATATTAAAATTTAAAAGATGGAGCATTAATGTGAGTAAATATCGATGACGTATGTGTAACATTGCCCAGACCTTAGGCTCTAAGCTCACCAATTTCACTTGATTTGACAGTTTGACAATCTACCTAGATTTATTAACATAGTTTTTGTCACGAAAGATAGTAATATTTAGGTTTGAAAATTATCAGAACTTTAAATTTATTAATGGCAATCGTGTAAAATGTGTCAATAATTATTTCAGCGTTTGATAACGGTTATTTGGATTGACATTAATAAATACTACTTGAATGAAAAAAGTTTGCAACCATAAGTCAAGTTAAATTTGAGGGGGCTTGGTTTAAAGTAAAGTAAAATCAGTATTCATTTAATTGTTATTATTTCTATTTATTCATAAAATTTTGCAATTTATAGCGTGTTAAAAGTTATTCAAAATAATTGCATAATTGAAAAATTTAGCTTGAATGATCAAGTAGTCGACCGTACCGATAACTTTGAGGTAAAATATCTTCTCCAGAACAGTCTTGGAATTTATTTGGCAGAGATATCGACCAGTGTCTTTTGACTGAGCATTCTTAATGAGCAGAGTCCAATCTTCATTAAATTGTCGCGGAAGAAAATATCGTTTATTATTTCGCTGTAAATGTAGCGTTATTTCTTGCAATTCGTGGTCTTTCCACCAAGATACCTTCAAAAATAAATACAGTAAAAAATGAATTTCAAATGCCACTTCAAATTTTAATTTAATCCCCTAAGCAATTGCTTCAAATATGGTATGCTGTATTCATATTGTTTTAATAATTTGCGCATTTATCTTGCTAGCTTCATATTATACCAATTACTAGTGAGGTAATAATGTCAACCGATCTTATCTCGACGTATTAGCTTCTTGAAGGTCTTATGTGATTCCTGTCGATGTCTCAATAGGTCGAATGCAAATAAACGATAACAAATATAAAAATAAAAACAGAATAATTTTTTATTAATTAAGAGTTTATTAAGTGAAATGGATTGTTTGAATGCAAAAAATCATAGTCTATTAAAAATGAAACGACTATGAAATGGCTCATTCTAATTAAAAATAACTAAGCAATTAACCTGCATCATGTGCTCTGCGGGAAAATTAAAGATAATGAATAAATTTAATTTAAGGTCTCTTAGTAAAAAGGTTCCTTCATTATTTAATTCTTTAAGCAAACGAAATAAAGTATCCATTAAATATTGGGTTTTCCTAGGTTGAGTGATAGTTTTAATTAATGAAGAGGACACCTTTTCACGAATAAATGGACTCCAATTTATGCGCAATTAATTAATTGATTGAAAAAATGAAACGAAGATAACATGGTGAATTATTTCCGATTTGTTGCCAGAATAACATTATTTGACTAATAATAACATAATAAAATGGGGAAAACTATTCAAATATTTCATTTTCGAGACGGGATCTAAATAAACCAACTTAAAATTTAATAAGGTGGAGATATAAGTAATTGAAAAAACGAATATATTCGATTTGTTAATTGTAAAATGGTTACTGATGTCGCTAAACACATTAATTTCTCTAGGCTAAAGGTGTCGACATTTCAGTGAATTACCAAGAAAAATACATTTAGTGTTTTTTTTTCAAAAAAGCAATTTTTATTACATATTTATTTTTTAAATTAATATTGAATGATTGTCAAGATAATTTTAAAATGGCACGCGGTAATACATGCTTAAGTGGAATTTTTTCAGTGTCAACTGTGGAATTTAAATATTAATAATTGGAGAGATTCATGATAATAATTGCCTTTTTTGTATGGTTTCAATCTTTGAAAATGACCCAAACCTTTAAAATTATCGATTTTACTTCAACTAGGGCTTCATTTAGCAATTTTCATTAAGTAGTTTTATGAACAAACCACCCGAGTGGTTTCAAGTTCAAAATTAGCAACAAATTTTGAAAGAAAATGTAATAACAAATGTAAGGGAGAGAGATGAGAGATAAAGTGCAATTATTTGATAGTCTGGAATTTTCAACTGCTGAATTATAGTCTTCTAGTTTTTTTATTTGTTGCAGTCAATTGTGGCAGCAGCAATACTAATGAATCGACCAATAACTTTCACTATAATTTCTATTTAGTTTGATGTTCGGTTAGTCATATCTCTCAGAAAAGTGATTTAAGCTCTTATTAAAAATCAACTTACACCTTTCATTTATAAATATGGTAAGAAACGCCCAAAACTTAAGCAGATAAGACAGATATCCTTAGCTTACATAGAATACTTCAAAATAACAAACCATACTATAAATTCAAGAGTTAATAGGCAGCAATGTAGGCATTAAAATGTTTTCATTGCGTTTCCTTATGATTCAATGTGATTGTGAAAAATAGGAAACGAACCTAAAAAGGGTTTCTGTAATTTTTTTTATATTCTTTATCCACATTAAACCATTTTAGATAACATCTAAATAATGCTTGATTAAAATTTCCATTTTCTATTAATGGGGAAGTTAGTATGACTAAAGCGTTTTGTAATTAAAATAAGGACAAAATTGAGCCCGTAAACGCAACAGCACTTTCATATAAATTTTGATCCACTTCAAGGTTTTGTTAAATTATGGTTTGTCCCCAAGATAGAATATAAAATATATTTATATACGCAAAATAGTATTTAAATTAAAAAGAAAACCCTATTTCAACTTCATCGCCCTGGGATTTCTAAAGATTGAATAAATCCAAGAAAACTACAGAGAGAAAATCTTTTTAAATTTATTTAAATATTATATATCCAGAACTGCGTCTATCAATAAGTTGATTTAAATGTTTCGTTTTATATTGACTCTTCATTAAACAAACACTAAAAATAAATCAACAAAACATTTTAAAATTTTACGGATTACTTCATAAGGAACGCAGAGTTTATTAAGATGTATTACGAACTCACGATAAATTATCCCAAATGCTTTAGTTGTGTTTTTTATTGTTTTACATTTTTATGATAAAAGTATTTTAGTGCTAATTATTCAAAAATATTGATTCATCGAATTCCACACACATATTTTGGTTGCGTTCTTAAGAATTTTAATGTTTTTATTAATTGAAAGAACTTAATGATGTCGATCTAGAATTTTTACATCTTAAAGAGATCATAGTTAATCAAATATTTATTTATATTTATATTTATTTATATCAAATGACAGGCCTTATGATAGTTATCATTAGCCCTTTAGTTGTTTCAGACTTCACAGGGGGAGAGGAACATCAAAGCGAAAAAGTCGAGAGAGGTGGGGACAGAAGAGTGTTTTAAAGATGTAAAAGAGACAGACACAAAGGTAGATGAAAGGAAAGGTAAGTACTGTGGAAGTAGTCGAATATGACATACAGTGGGGTCATGATAGGTTGAACTCAGAAGTCAACTGCCGAAAAATAGACTTTTTTGCAGTATGAGTATACGTTGCCCAGGGTGTAGACTTTTTTGTCGCATGAGTATACGTTGCCCAGGGTGTTAGACTTTTTTGCAGTATGAGTATACGTTGCCCAGGGTGCGCCACGTGGAGGCAAGTCCATCGCACACCCAAGTTAATCAAATATAATCTTAGTTAGAATTCTGAAGCTTAACTCATAATATTTGAATAATAAACCAAAATCGAATTATAACAACTATACTAAAATAACACAATTGCAAACGTTAACTTTTTTCTCTTAATTATGTTAAAAACCTGATTAAATTTTGAACGTGTTTACTCACTAAATATTTTCCTTAAATCATTTGGGGAAATTTATTCAAATTGTAACCGAGAATCAGAGATATTCACGAATTTAATAAAAGAAAACTCCTAATCTTGCCTCTTTCTGTATATTATATTTCAATTAATATTTGCCAAATCAATGTTAACTGAGCAATACTTATGTATATCTTGAGATTCTATTTCTTTAACTCTCATTTTTCGTAAAGAATTGAAAAGAATATTGACCTTTTGACCTTCGTATAATTGTCCCAATGCATTTATCTTGCCTTCATTTACAAATACCAAATGCCTGGTTACCATTTCTGTTTTTCATAATTATTTAATTAATGTCGGTCTTATAAATTCCAGATAGAAATAGCAGGTCTGAAGATTTCTCAAAATATGTTGGGTCCATTATTAGAGCCATAATGGCAAAACCAAAAAATTTCCTTTTTGGGTAAAAATTCAATCGTATCCATCTAAACAATGTATAAGGTTTTAAAAACGTTCTTATTTGAACAAATATGGAAATCAAAAGTACAGTCGAACTTTTAACCTCTTTTGTCACTGAATTAGCAAAAGCAAAAGAAATGAGGATTAAGGGGGAAGAAACCGCTTTAAAATTGCACAAAGCCTAAAGAGTACAATTTTTCCCAGATTGGAACTATTGTCAGGACATTGTTTCCAAGTGTTTTTAAATCTCTTTTGTCAAGAAGTCACACAGTAAATCGCAGTAAAATAACATAAGCCTTGATAAATGAGCTTCCGTCGTAAATACAAAGCAAAGAATTATTTTTGGATTAATTGTTTTCCATTTGCAACCTTTTAAATTTGCCGAAAAACAGTAAAAGAATGAGAAAATTTATGCCATAAGATTCTTTTTCATTATTCATTTCGAACTATTGTAAAGTTTAGTATAATAATTCGCAAAATTATGAGTCGTGACAAATGTCCATTTGAAAATTTAAGATTCCCCGAAAGATCGTTCAATTTGCTACAGACATGCTATGTTTTGATCAATTTTATTTTTCGAATTTTGCTAATTTCAAGTACTACTTGAGAGACTCGGAAAAGCTTTTTAGTTAAATTGAAATTAAAATTGAAAATATTACAGAAAATTTTATTGCAAAGTAAAATAATTAGTTATGATTTTAAATTTTTTATGAATTTATCGAGTGGTTTTCTAAAATCAACACCTACTGGGTTATCATTCCTGACGCACTTTTGATTCCAAATTGTCACACTAATGCAATACTTTTATTCTAAATTTGTTAAGAAATAGTTTTCAAGTATTGAAATTTGAAATTACTATTTGATGGACAAATATATTTGCCGTAAACCTAATTTCAATAATAATATTGCTAAGGGAATTTGCGTTGCTAGTATGATTAGAAGTAAAAACAAACGTTTCACCTTTAAATAAATCAAGAATTTGATGTAATTCATGAAGTGCCTGCCATTTTTTCGGCGAAATTTCAATAACATTTCTATTTACAAATTTATTTATAAGATTGGAGTAAAATTGATCATTAAAAATTACCAATGCCCGTAATTTATTTTTCAATAGTTTAATTAAAATTCAACTTAATAATTTTCGAATTAAAACTGCCATATACATTTATGTTCATTTAAATATTTTGAAAATTAACTGAACATTCCTCGTTAATAAAATGATGCTGAAATGACACGTCGGTTGTATAAAGGCGTTTTTTCAATTTGAAATTAAGTGAGTGCTGATTTTGCCGTTGAAGCATTTACATGGTCGCAAATACCTAATATCTAAATTACTGCATTTACAAAGCACTATCAAATTACATACAGATGCTTACGAATCTAAAGCAGATATGAAAAATAATTAAAGAAAACGGAAGCCTTAATATATTGACATTTCAAATTTTTCACACAACTTTGCTATAGTTGAATGGATATTAAAATTTATGCTGCAATCTTTCCCGAATAAGCCAACTAGTTTTTTACGCATTTATTAAGTTTAATGCATATATCAAACTTACAGAAAAGAACATAAATCTTATTTTTAGTAAACTCGCTATTCGTCCGATGAGAAGCAAGATGCCATGATTTTTTTTCTGCGTTAGGGCTTATTAAAATTAATTTAAAAAGGTTATGATTTATAAATTTTTAATATATTTTGCAGTTCAGTGTTTCTCATTGAATGCCGTATAATGGTTTTGTAAATTGATTTTCGTAGTCAGTTAAATATTTTTTTTCATTTTTTTTCAATAATGATGTTTTTATAATGCTTTCCAGAAATCTGCTGTCAGAAGTTAGACCAAAACACAGACCTGTCATAAAATATTAGCTTCTCAACGGAGACACACGTTGAAAAATATTTTTTTGTCTTTTACCTCAACTCAAATATCAGCAAATATTTGTGACTGGATATGGGAGAAGGGTATTAAAAAATCAGAATAACTCTATGAGGTCATTAAATATGGTTTACTATATGCCAATTTGAAGAGCATTCAAGTGATTCCATTATTTAAGTTATAGTTTCTCCATATTTATGCAATATTCTTTTAAGTTCCAATCAGCGTCGTTCAGTAGAAAGCCGTTCTGCCCTTTAATGCGGGAATATTAAAAGCCTTGCTCAAGGTTATGTAACGTAACTTGACTTAGAAAATGAATATTTATAAGTAGTGGAATTGATTTAAGAATATAAAAATTTTGAAAGTTTTCTAATATTTAACTTTTTACAAAATGCTTGAAATTTATCAGGAAGCCAAATCAACTTAACTAAGACTAAATTGTGCGTATATCATGCTTCAAAAGATCTGAGGATATCAATTTGTAATATGAATCAATTAAGAGTAAAATACTTTTGATCCAAAAATACCATTCAAACGCGAGTGCTTTCAATTCAGTTTAATTATTTCAAAAACGAAGGACCAGACTCGTAGTAACTTTTGACTATCTTAATTTTAATACATTTAACTCACGTAGGTTTTATTAAAATCAACATTGTATATGTAGCATCTGAGTTGCGCCGTGTCCCCCTCTTTCACAACAACATTTAATCGAACGTCTCCAGCAAAGCACGGTGGAGGATTGAAAAGCGGCATTCCAGGTTTGCAATCGTATTGACTCGGATCAGAAGAACCATCATCGGAAGTATTTTTATCAACTTGGAAGTAATCGTAGCAGAGACCCCTTTGCAGCGTATGCACAAAAAGCAGAAGATATCCAACTTCCTTTACTATAATCCACCTCATTTCATCTGTTTATAATGATCCAAGTTTCACACATTAGGTTTTATATCTAAAGCAAAATATGAAATAGAATTTTTTTTGCAATTTTAGAGTAATGTAATAAGAGCTCATAAATAATTTAAATAGTTATTTCAAATACCAGGCGTTATGATAGATATCATTAGACCTTTAGTTGACTTCGGGCTGCACAGAAAGGAAGAGGAACATTAAAGTGGCAAAAGTTGAGGTTAGTACTGTGAAATTATTCGAATATGAAATGCAATAGAGTCTTGGTAGTTTGAACGTATGAATATACGTTGAGCAGGGTGGACCACGTGGAGGTAAGTCTATCGCACACCCCAATATTTTAAATATAACTTGCTGTTTCTCTAAATTTTTATTAAGTATTTTTCTTGGTTTAAAAGTTATGAAGGCAGTTTTCTAAGTTGAGTTAAGTTGCTTCAGTTGTCATAAAGTTGTCTTATACATTAGACGCATAATAATTTAGCCTTAATTGGGTTTCAAATTTGCGAAAAGAAACTCACATTTCTAGGGTAGGTGAGCTAAATTCAACACAAGCAGAAAATAAAAGAAATTAAAAGCGATGTAGTATTCATTAAGGGATAAAGACACCGACACTTCAAGATAATAAATTTTTAAAAGAAAACTTTGGCGACTAAATTTGAATAATAAATATAAAACGATTCATCCCCGGATTTCAACGAGCGATTTTTTATGTAGACCGAACGAAGTGTCCGAACGTACTACTTCCATGCATTTTTAAATAGATGAGTTTCAATTAACTAAATTTTTCTTAACATTAATCAAGATATTGTTATTGGTGAAGCAATTACTAAGCTGTATTTATTATTCATTTTAGATTTTCTATTCTTTTAATCCGTGATCCTAGTTAACTTTATACCGATAGATTTTGAAAACAATATTCTATTATAAATATTTCTAATTATCGAAAAGCATAAAGGAAAAGAGCATGTTTAAGCAAAAATTAGGGTCAGTTTCAGGTTCAAAATAACCGGTAATGTGGATAATATTTCAAGGAAACAAATTAATACTTACGAACAGTAAATCCTTTTAAAATTTAACCTGTGATCATCCAGCGTTAGTTCATTACGTGGCTACTTCTGAAGGCAAACTCATTTCCTATTGGCTGTGGCTTGCATATGCATATCATTTTGTCTAGCCAATCATTTTGACCAAACGACTACCAATTATTGCTATAATTACGTTTATAGAACATATTTGTGAATTTTCATAATAAGCCTTATTATAATTTATTAGAAATTCATTATTAAATACATTGGCGTAATTAATTAATTTCCCTACCAAGGAATAACTCAAAATCAATCCACTTGAATAGATGGGACCTTACTTTCAGATAGGTCTTTACTTTCACTTTCTATAAATAGGAAGATACAGCTCTATTGACATTTTGTTCTCATAATTCTCATTGTTAATTATGTTTTTAAGAATTGTCACATTTCATATTACTATAGTGCTTATTCATCTGATTATCATAGAAATTCATCCAAAATCTAGGGAACTACATATTTATTCATTTATACTTATTAACATAAAGCTATTTTAAGTAAAGTATTTTCATAAAGCCAAGAACCAGCTTAGTTGTGAGCAGATTTAGAGTTTAATACCATATTATCACCCAATCAGATTTATTGAGTTTACGGTCGTTTTTCTCTTGAATAAACTTAGCACATGGATATTCAGTCGCTATTGCCACACGTTTCTCTATTAACTAAAAATAATCTTATCAATGTAGGTTCATTTTATGAAGGATATCTTATGTCATATATAAAACAATATATTCACTAATTTATGTTTCTCAATATTTAATATTGTCTTAGTGATCTTTAAAATGATGCAAGTACATGCTATATGTATGTATATACATGCTTCTCGAGAGAACTTGAAGTGTTTTTTCCAATTGTAATAGAATTTTAAATTGTCATATCAGATACCAATAAAATCGGGTTAGAATACATCTACGGAATCCGATAACGAAACAAAAATTTTGTTCCCAAGACAGATAAATTAATTGATTTGAATAAAAGAATAATACAGATTACAAACACTATTATTTTTATTATTTATGCAGTATTGCTTATTTGAATTAACAGTTTCTAGTAATGAACGCTCAGTATTAGAAGTATCGGATAGTGTTTTTCTGATAAATACACAACTGTTAGCACGGTTTTAAAATTGAAATGTAAATACTGAAATGGAGAAAAAATCAATTTTATAATGTACTCAAATGGATGATTAAACTGTTTTCATAATCGTTTCAAATAAAATTTAGGAAAGGCGGTTTGACAGATTATTTTATAATAGCTCTGGCGAGTATGGGAAACAATTAGACGAGCAAGATAATGGGCAATTGCAGAGTTGTGAGTTTAAGACTATGAAATGACTGGACAAATTAATTCAATAATTAATCTCATTTACTTAAAGTACCCTTTTCACAGTTTTTTATTACGGTATTTGTGACATTGCACATATTTCAGACTTAAGATAATTTTTCTCGCATTATTTGTATATATCTCACTTACTTTTCCAGTTATGGATAATTCTAGGAGAATAAGCGGTGCTTTTTAAAAACAGAATGTGGTTTTCTCAAATTGTCTATAGTTTTAAATATGCTAAGGTGAGCAGTAAATAATTTTGCTCATGAAAAGGAGAATTATATCCTTCATTTAACTCAAATCGTTTATCACAACTGAAATTTAAAACATTAGTTAATTAATGTACTTTGACTAATTTGTTGTGAGCCGGTCAAGCAAAATAATTCATAAATGTGTGTATATGAAAAATAACTATTCTATGGTTAACAAAAAATAAATCAACCGATTTTTCTTTTGCATCATTGCCCTCATTTTGCTATTTGATTTAACATTATTTTGAATGCAAAATAAATTAGTGATATTACATAAATAAACATAATTGTAATAAATTCCATTTATGACTGCATAATTTTTGCTTTTTGGCCTATTCAATTTTTATTGCCTTGAGTAGCGCTATTGAAAGATATTAGCCTTAATATAACTTTTGAAAGTTCCATATCGCAGGCGCTTTATGACAATGTAACTTCCGGGAATATAACATATTAAGGCCTATTCAATTCTGACAAGTATTCATTTAAAGTTGTCATGGAGTCTGTACTCCGTTACTTTATTTGGGTGGCCAAGAGAGAGAGAATGTGTGTGCTTTAAATTGGTCTTCATATTGAAAGTAAATTTCCTGGTTATACAACACAATATCACTCACCTAAACACTGCTTTTGGTTGGGTCATAATTCATCCCACCATAGGTGGCACTGAAATGACCCTTTAGCAAGCAATGCCAATGCGCAAAGTTACATTTGATATTTATTTTGCTTGAATATTGCTGCAGTTGCTTTATACAATCTTTGAATTGCCGGATTAGGCTAGTTTGAAAAAAGACCAATATTTTAGATCCCCGTTTGAAATATATGAACCTTCGAATTTCAAGTAAATGATCTAACATTCATTATTAAGTTATGGTTAAGTAAAATAAAAGCGATTGGTCAGTTGGTTTCCATACAATAAAAAATCATTTGTGTAATCATCTTCGATTTTCGAGTATATATGGCCCATTGATTAACATAATTTCGTGAAAATAATTCGAGCAAAGAGAATTTTAAATTGTTTTAATTGTTTAATCAGGATTTAAAGATTAATATTATAAAAATATGGACAAAATGAATAAAGAAAAGCATATTTCTAGGCAGTTAAAAGTAAAAAATTAAAGGCTGAACTATTCTGCATACTCCAGAAACTTGAAATTTCGAAAAAAACATTCATTTAAATTATTTCATTTGAATGAGTATATGCTGCAAAAATTTTTCAAAATTCTTTGCAAATTTTGCATGTTTTCCGAAGTAGGATTTACATTGAATTTTATCGTTTGTGAGCAGTGTTCGAACTTATTATTTAATTCTGTGGCATTTTATTTCAATGCTTTGTTTTTTAATCATTGCATTCATCCCTAAAATTGAACATGCTTGTAACCTTTCAAAATGGATAAATTTTGCTAATTTTATTTCAATTAGAGAAGAACATATCAAGGAGAATTAAGTCCAAACATTTTGCTGAATTTAATTATTACTTCAATCGTAGGGCTAACACATAAAGTATTCATGATTCAATCTTGTTTATTTATATTCACCCAGTAAATGCATTAAAAACATTGTAACTGTTTTAGATTTCATAATTCGGAGTGTTGTTGATGAAAAGCCTCTAATCAGATTAAAACAACAAATGGTCTATGGGTAGTACTTTGACATTAAGTTGAGATTTTAATTTTCCAGAGCTTTTAGGTTTTTGAAGTTGAGTTGTAACATGCAATGTAATTCAGGTCTCGAACTAATTGTCTCAAATGAAAAAAGATATTTTCAGTATTTTTAAAACTTACTTCTATATAACTCGTTTTGCATTCTTTTACCAAGCCAATTGGAAAATCCATTCACCCACTATTTATCCTTTTGGGTTTTAACTATTTTAATTGTAAATACTCTGAACTGACGTCATATTACTTAAATAACGCAATTGAACTTAAATGTTGTCTAAACGTGCCATGTTCTAAAAGATTAAGAAAATTAGTGAGGTGGATTTTATCTTTAAATGATAATCAATATTTAATATTAAAAAATTAAAAAAAATAAAATAGGCATATCGGTTTAATAAAACTTTATTGGTGCGCAAATAAAGCAGATATAACAACGGATTGAGCATTTGAGTTATAATTTATATGATTCTTTTCATGTTATTAATTAAATAAAAACATTTAAAAGCGTGATTATGACAGTTAACACAAATAGTCATTATTAATTAGCAGATACTACAAATCAATTGAATGTTACCAAAATTTACTTATAAATGCATTAATAGTTGATTATTATGAAACATACAATCAGTTCAACGTGTTGAAGTTATATTGCATCCTTTTTAAAATTGCCTATGTTAGAAATGTTA